TGTTTTTTATGTTTGAGACAGGATTTTCCTGTAGCACCAGCTGGCCTGGAACTCATTATGTAGATCAGGCTGGCCTCAATCTCACAGAGATCCACTTTCCTCTACCTTCTGAGTGCTAGAATTAAAGGCATGTGTCATCATGCCCTGCACTGATTTAGTTTTGCTCTGTGTTTTTTGTTTTTGTTTTTAATTTCAGGGTGGGCACAGCAGAGATGGCTCAGCAGTTAAGAGCATATGTTGTTCTGTAAAGAACCAGAGTTCAGCTCCCAGCACCGTATCCAGAAGTTCACAGCTGCCTGTAACTCCAGCTCCAGGAGCTATGATGCCATCTCCTGGCCTCTGCAGGCACTGCACTCACATGTACAAACCCACACACAGATGCACAAAATTAAAAATTAAAATGTTTTAAAATTCAGGATGGTGATAAAGCTCAGTGGTAAAACACTTGCCTAGCATGTGTAAGGCCCTTGATTCAACCCCCTACACCACAAAAATTCAGTTAGGACTTTTAGAGAATTGCACCCTTTGTGAAAAAAGGGTTAGAAAAATTTCCCACCAGCCAGAGGGATAGCTCAGAAGCTTATCTCTTCCGGGTCTCCCAGGAGAAATCAAACCACTAAGGTTGCAGAGTTGGACTTACAACACTGAAGACAGTGATTAAAAACTAGCAAATAAAAAATGCAGGATCTATGCTGGCTAAAACTCCATGGCATCAGGCAAAAGCAAAGTGAAACCTCTGTGGGGCCAGTCCTACAATCCAGGCAGCACAGAATTCTCCCAGATAAAGAAATCATTAATTAAAATGACTTATTATACCAAGAAAATTAGTCATAAGCAAGTTTTTATAGACACACAAGCAGAAGTGACATTCCCAGAGCTGATAACTGGACATTCTGAAAGACTATGGAGTATGAAGTATATGTTTAAAATCACAGAGGGAGGGAGGGAGAGAGGGAGGGGGGAAAGGAGAGAGTGAATGGAATGAAATGCCAGGAATGTTTTTTAAAGAACCAAATAAAACTTCTGGAAATTAGAAAAATACAATCATCACGCTCACTTTGGCAGCACATGCACTAAAACTGGAACAATGCAGAGAAGATTCACAGAACCCCTGCACAGGAATGACACACAAATTCCTGAAGCATTCTACATTTTTGTCTTAGAGGTAGAATTACAGTTTGAATATTTAGAAATCTCTTATTCATGGGACTGGAAAGATGGCTCAGCGGTTAAGAACACTGGCTATTCTTGCAGAAGACCCGGGTTCGAATCTCAGACAGCTAACAACTGTCCATAACTCCAGTTCCAGGGGATCCAACAGCCTCTCTGTCCTCCGTGAGCATTGCACAACATGGGTGCACTTACATACATGTAGGCAATACACTCATACACGTAAAATAAAAATAATAAATAAAATATTTTTTAAAAAGAAAACTCTTGCTCAAATTCCCTGTATTAGGCTTTTATTAACCTAATTGATTTCTTTTAAATATAAAGTGGTTAAAACACTACATACAGATACACATGTGGCGGGAGGGGCAGTCATCAGCTTGGTTTGGTGGCAAATACCTGTAATCTCAGCACTCAGGAAGCTGAGGCAGGAGGATCCCAAGTTTTGAAGCTAGCATAGATTACACAGCAAAACTCGTTTCCCAAAAAAAATTATCATTAAAAAATCAACATTAAAATTGATTTAATTTTAAAAAATCAACATTAAAATTGTGCAAGGAGGTAAATTTGTAGATCAGATGAAGCTAAAGAGAAAATGTATAAATTAGAAAACACCTCTGTAGAAATTACCCATAAGATTGCATAGAGTGCTAAAGCAATACAAAAAAAAAAAGATCAGACAAGAGAAGATTGAATGAAAGATCCAATGAATCTGTAATAAAAAAAAAAGAGTGAATTGGAAAGAGGTAATCATAAAAGATGCATTCATCGTGAACTTTTACTGGCAGTGAAAAATATGAAGCTTCTTAAGAAAAAAAATCATTTCCATCCCCCCAACAAATTCAATATAAGCAGTCTCATGCCTGCACACATCATAATAAAACATTGAAAACAATTCCTAAAAGGATTTGAGAAGAGACATGTCTTCTACAAAGGGATGATTAGACTTACCACAGACTTCTCGACAGCAACCACAGATGCCAGATGCCAGAAAATAATGGAATATTCTAAGTGTCTTCTACATGCTGAGGAAAAGTAACTGTCAGTTTTAGTGTTCTATAGTCAGCTATATCATCATTTGAGAAGAATAAAATTAAGCCATTTTCAATCAAAAGTTTGCTGCTTGCAGACCTCTGTGGGATCACAAGAGGAGAACATACTGCCAGAAGAAGGGAGTTGAACTCAGAGGAGAGGAACAGCGGAGCAAAGAACATGCCAACATGTGGTTGACTCTTAAGTAAGCTGTAACTGTAAAAATGTACACATAACAATGGCGACGGCTTAGCACACAAGTGCTTGATGAGTGTTTGCTGCTTGGTCATTCTTGATTGTATGCGCCTCTTCTGAGACATAATTCTGCATGTGTTTGGGGCATGCAACTCAGAAGCATTTCAGCTTATGGCTGTCACATTATATTTATTTCTTTATTTCTGGAATGCCTCACTTTTTCTGGTCTCATGAAAATATCCCGTCATAATTTCAGCACAACTGTGTGCTTTAACTCTTTCATTTTTTGCCATCTTTTGTTGGTAACGGGGGGAGATTCCAGTTGAGGTTCAGCACATTGTTTTCAAACCTACTCAGTACTTTTTTATTGAACTGAGAAAAATTATTCCCATTTCTTTGATGGTGCTTCAGGAAAAATTAGGGCTGACGAGATGGCTCAGTAGGTAAAAGTGTTTGCTGCCAAGCTTGATGATGACCTAAGTTTGATTCCCAAGACCCAGATGGTGAAAGAGAGAACCAATTCCCCATTGTCATCTGATCTCCAAATGCACACAGTTTCACAAGTACACACACACACACACACACACACACACACAAATAAGTAAATAAGTGTAATTTTCTTAAAAAGAACAATTCTCGGCCTGGAAAGATGGCTCAGTGGTTAAGAACACTGGTTGTTCTTGCAGAAGACCCAGGTTCAAATCCCAGCACCCACACGGCAGCTAACAACTGTCTGTAATTCCAGTTCCAGGGGATCTGACAGCCTCTTCTGGCCTCAGCAGGCATTGCATGACACAGGTGCACTTAGCTACATGCAGGCAATGCATGCATACACATAAAATAAAAATAATAAATAAAAAATTTTTTTAAAAAGAACAATTCTCCTTATCTGCCAGATTCCAGAAGAGACTCTTTCATGGTAACTGAGAGCTGAACTTCAAGTGTTCCAGCAAACCAAACCAAGCCTGGGAAGTTAAATTGCACCACTTCACTATACCACACTGGCCTAAGCAGTCACAAGCCCACTGAGATGCAAGGAAAGGGGACAGAGACTCTACCTGTCAAGGGGACAAGTGCACAGAATTTAGAAATCATAGTCTTAAGCCATTGCCCACATTCTTAGCATTCAGGAAGCAGAAATTTGATACAATTAAAAGTGAAAGATAGGGGCTAGAGAGATGGTTCAGTCATTAAGAGCACTTGCTGCTCCTGTAGAGGACCAAAGTTTGGTTCCCAACACTCATGTTGGGCCGCTCACAACTGCCTATACCTGTAGCTCCAGAAGATTTGATGCCCATTTCTGGCCTCCACAGGTACTCACATACGCAATGCATGCACACACATACACACACACACACACACACACACACACACACATACAAACACGCACACACACATTTTAAAAAGGTTTTTTATCTTTTTTTAAAGCAAGAAACAAAGTGGGGATCTATAATTTATTATGCACACATTATTTTCCATACACCTTCCATATTTAATCTATCTTTATGTCAAACCCATGTGAAGGATGAGATGAATATTCCCCAAGTTACAGAAAAGGAATTTTCTCATACTGTTGCATGACAGCTAATGAGTGTCCAGACTCAGATCAAGGGTAGTCACACTGGCAGACCACACTTTTGTTATTATTGTTTTGAAACAAGGTCTCTCTGTGTAAATTTCGTGGTCTACCTCTAGAGTGCTTTGATTACAGGTGTGAGCCATCAGGTCCAGCAAGGCCACGTGGCCTTTTACCTACACTATCAAACAAGAATAACTGATGTTAGTCCCACTCATTGAAGCTGCCTGTGAGGAATGCAAGCTTGGAGCAGGCCATCAAGAGAGGGAGGCTGCATCCCCTGAGCAAGCTTCCTGTATAAACAGGAGGCACATGGGAAGCAGCACTGTGATGCTGGGACAATGGGTAGTGAGCAGGCAGGGCCTCCAGTCTCCGGTGGGTGATCAGGGCTACAAGAGGCCAGGCAGGAACAGCTGGGGCTCAGTTCTCTGACGCCTGGCCCAGGAGAGGAACTGGCCCACTCCTGGCTTTCCCAGGAGGAAGTTCCCCACTGCGTCTCGGGAAGCCCTTCCCATCCCAGGCCTCCCTGTGCCTGTGCCTCTGCTTTCTTCTCCCAGAGCCTGTTGTCTTTGGGGCTAATCTGGGAGACAGGCCTCCTCTGAAGTCCCTGTGGCCTGGGGGCAGCGGGTGTGGGCAGGCCCACATGCCAATCTAGGAGGCAGCCTCAGCTGAATGAAAAAAGAAAAAGAAAAAAGCGAGAGGCAGTTTTAAATAGACATGTAAAGCAAGAAGACCCCACTGCGACCCCAGCCCGACTATAACTAGCTTCGTGACCTAGGCAAGATGCTTATCTTCCCAGAGTCCCCGTTTCCTCATTTGTAAAGTCAGGAAAATCCTACTCTCTGAAAAGACGTACTTGAAGATAAAACAAGATAGCATACATAAAGCAACAGGCACTGAGAGTTATATAAATAGTAATGTACTTAAAGCACGTAAGAACCTGAACCCTGAACTGCCTGCCCCTGCCTCATGCCTGTACCACCTAGTTGTCACTATCAAAGACTCTCTTCCCACTGAAATACCAGTTACATGAAGAGACACAACATCCAGGTCTGTGGCTCTGCTGAAGGCAACTGTGGGGGAAGATCCTGAGCAGATCCTGGCCTCTGTCCCCAAGGTTTCCCAAACACCACTCACTCCAGATCACCTCCTGCTTCTTGGGGTGCCCCTACTCTATTTCACAGGTTCCTCGGCTCTATTCATCTTTTTTCTTGAATGTCTCCCTTTTCTTGTCGTACTGTGTGTGTGTGTGTGTGTGTGTCTGTGTCTGTGTCTGTGTGTGTGTCTTTTTTTGAGATAGGGTCTCCCTGTAGCCCCAGCTGGCCTGGAACTTGCTATGTAGACCAGGCTGGGCTTGAACTCGTAGAGATCCACCTGCCTCTGCCTCCCAGTGCTGGGATTAAAGGCGTGGGGCGCCACACCTGGCTTCTTTTTGTACTTTTTCATGTCCATCTCTAGGCTAAAGATTACCAAATCTCAGGACTGGAGAGATGGCTTAGTGATTAAGAACACTGATTGTTCTTGCGGAAGACCGGGGTTCAAATCCCAGCACCCACATGGCAGCTAACAACTGTCTGTCCATAACTCCATAACTCCAGTTCCAGGGGATCCAACAGTCTCTTCTGTTCTCCACGGGCATTGCATGACACAGGTGCACTTAACTGCAGGCAATACACACATACAAATAAATAAATAAATAATAAATAAATAAATAAATAAATAAACTGTGTTTAAAAAAAA